ATGCTCTCAACTGCACTATACTGGCCTCTGCAGGTACCACCTAGACTAATGTGCTTAGATACATGTATACAAAAATAAGATGTTACCCATGCTAATATTATACATAACTATTGTATACCCTCCCTCCTTTTAGGCCAGCAGCGTTCCCGTATGTTGGCTACCCTCTTTAAGGATGAGCGATGTCAACAGCTGGCTGCCTATGGTATCCTGGAGAAGATGTATCTGGACCGGATCATCAGAGGAAACCAGCTGCAGGAGTTTGCAGCCATGCTGATGCCTCACCAGAAGGCCACCACAGCAGATGGTGAGTGGCGATAAATGAATAGTTTCGCACATCCTCACAGAGTTGTACATTATCACTTGAATATATTCTCATTATTATTATTACCCTTGAGCTAATCACATGATTGCTGCTTGTGTAAATGTTGTCTTGGACTGTGTAGACACTATCAGTGAATGAAGAGCCATAAATCCAGTACATTTTTGTTTCATGTTTTATGCCTCAAATGCTGTGGATGTATAAATGTCAAGATGTTTATTTTAGTAACTTAAATCAGCAAAAAAATAAATCCAACAAAGGTTATTTGTTTTCCCTATGGAACAACCTGGCTATATGACACAAATTAGCAAGTTCCTCAAAACAAGTACATGGAAACATAAACTATTTACTTCTAATATATGTGAACTTTGTGAAGACTTTTGTATAACAGCACATGATTGTATGAAAATCTTGGTTAGTAGCAGGCAAGGACATATTTGGGGAGAGTTAACAGGACTTGGCAAAAATCTTATCAGGTTTTTCTTGTCAAGTGGCACAAGCAGCTGAAATTGAAGCACATATTTTTCATCAAAACCCACCTGCCTATTTACTGTAGCCAGCCGCGTGTCAACCGGTTCCAAAATTCAGATTAGGGTTATGTTAGAAATGTGAAAGACTGCTCTCCTCTAAAACATTTTATACACTTGAAGGTAAAGCAAAAAGGAAGGCAAAATCTGTGTTAAAATGGACATAACTAGAATAAGTGGTAAATAGGGCTGGGCAGAATGGCCAAAAATTATATCAAGACAGAAATTCTCATATTAGTCAATATCATTAATTCTCATGATAATTGTCAATCACATTGGGTCAGGGGAGAACTACATACATACAGAAATCTTTCTTTATCATTTTGAGCATTTTTCAATATTTCCCTTGTTCTCTCAGAGAATAATTCAAGGCTCTTGATGGGCAATACATTAAGGTGTATAGGAGACAGATATTTATGGGTTTGTGCAAATTGGTGCAGTTTCAAATAAGAATCTGGATCTAGTATATTTAAATGTGCTTTCATCAGGGGACCTGATGCTTCTATCTCTCAGTCCTGCTAATGGTGGAACGTCACTAGAAGAGAGGGAGTGCCAGTGGAGGGAGGTGTCCAGTAAACACTAGTCTCAGTTCCACATCAGTAAGAATGTGTGTGAAAAATTGACACTGATGCCGAGACCTTAATGTGCAACCAGAGTTTCCTGAGCCTCCTGTTAATGGTCAGTGCATTGTCAGTGTCTTTATAATGGCTCCACAACAGTCTCCCAGTGGAATATAGAATTAGCACTGAGGCTTTGCCATTGTTTGCATGATTCTCCCCAGTATGTGTAAATGTGTTGTATTTCTTTGTTGATAAATTGCACAATGTATCTGAAACCGAAGAAAAGTATAATGTCACATGGCTTTTTAAGGTGTTCTCCCTCCTTCAGGCTCCAGCATCCTCGACAGAGCTGTCATCGAACACAACCTCCTGTCTGCAAGTAAACTCTACAACAACATCACTTTTGAAGAACTAGGAGCATTGTTGGAAATCCCTCCAGCAAAGGTGAGACATGGATTAGATTAACAGAGAAACAAAATGGATGATCATAACTAAACAAGTTGGATCCAAAATTAAAACCAATTCTACTGGTGATGAATATTCTTTTGCGTTACAAATATAATTTGTGTTGCTGATTGTTATCCATGTTGTATGTTAAGATTATAGTTTTCTGTTTTTGTCTTGAGGCTGAGAAGATTGCATCCCAAATGATCACCGAAGGACGCATGAACGGCTTCATCGACCAGATAGATGGCATTGTACACTTTGAGAGTGAGTAATGACAACCACTGTGCTTTACGTTTCATGAAGAGAACTTGCCATGTTGTTTTTTAGTGATACGATAAGTACAATTATTAAATTTAAATTCATGTTACAATCCAATAGATTCCAACACATTTAATATTTAATATGTGTTTACGACAATACTGACTATTTCTAGGTTTTAATTTGAATTTCTAAATATGCTGTTTAAATTGTGGTTATTTGAGTCAATAAAATAACTAGATGTATGTCTATCTGTGGCCAGTAGGGAGCAGCCTTTTCAAACATGAGTCTTATTAAACAACATAAAACTAATTTGCAGTTTATCAGCAAGGGCTATGCAGTGATAGGGCAGCTAAAGCAGTCATTAAAGTCACACACGTTAATTTGTTCCTGAAGTGTAGAACATAAATTGCAAATTTGTTTGTTTCCCTAATGTTTCCTTTTTTTTTTTTTTTATTTCAGCCCGTGAACCTCTTCCTACCTGGGATAAACAGATCCAGTCCTTGTGTTTCCAAGTCAACAACCTCCTAGAAAAGATTCGTCAAGCTGCTCCTGAGTGGGCTGCACAGGCTATGGAAACCCAGATGACCCAGTAAACATTCCCATCCTGCCCTAAAAAAAAGAAGATAATCCCTCCCTCCGCCTGTTCCAAAGTTCCATCTGCCTGCTCGACAACGTCACCACCTGACGACACCACCAACACAGAACCCTCCGGTTTTCTCTTTTAGCTTAATATTCAGAGAGCACTGTTTTATTAACTTTGCCCACTGGGATAATAGTTCAATTTTTCTCAATACTTCAGATCAATAATTGCAATAGTTGTATTCACAGGAGAGGTATTATAAAACCTTTGGCTGTGACTTTGTATATGATTCATTAAATACTTTTCACGTCGAGATGTGAAAAGATACAGACAGTCTGCCTGTTTAAGCTTTTGCGTTGAAAAACATCGGTTTTTTTTTTTTTTAACTTAATATGAAACAGCAATGTACGTCTGTACTCATGGACACTTCTCGGTCCACCCTCATGAAATGTCAGCACAAAGAATTAAATTCAAAGTTGAGAGAAATTGTTTGGTCGTGTCATTTAAGTTCTTCTGAACTGAAGAAGACTCTTGGACGAGAGGTGAAACAACTTCGAGATGGTTGCTAACTGTATGCGCATGTGTACAATTCCTAAAGTTCAGGTGACTGACGGGGGATCTACTTTCTGTTTCTTTCCTCCGTCATGCTTCAGTTGCAGTATCATTCCATGTGCACGTGTACAATTCCTAATGTCATTCAAGTTCCTTTAACATCAGTAACAGTTGAAATGCTTTAAAAAACGATTTATATATAGTACCAGTCAAAAGTATGGACACACCTTCTCATTCAATGAGAAGGTGTGTCCAAACTTCACACACCTTCTCATTGATTTTTATTTTTGTCTGCACTGCAGATTAATATTGGAGACATCAAAACTATGAAGGGACACATATGGAATTATCTGGTAAACAAAAAAGTGTTAAACAAACCAGAATGTGTTTTATATTTTAGATTCTTCAAAGTAGCCACCTTTTGCTTTGATGACAGCTTTGCACGCTCTTGACATTCTTTCATATCAGCTTCATGAGGTGGTCACCCAGAGGTGCTGAGCACTTGTTGGCTGCTTTGCTCTCCGCACTCTGAGGTCCAACTCATCCCATACCATCTCACTTGGGTTTAGGTCGAGTGTTTGTGGAGGCCAGGTCATCTGACGCAGCACTCCATCACTCTCCTTCTTGGTCATATAGCCCTTACATAGCCTGGAGGTGTGTTTGGGGTCATTGTCCTGTTGAAATACAAATGCTGGTCCCACTAAGCGCAAACCAGATGGGATGGCATGTCGCTGCAGAAAGTGAAGACGTTGTCTTTGAATGAGTGTTTGCTGTTAAGACATTGTTGTCTTTGAATACATTTTGACCTGTTGGTGGCGCTAGATGAAATTTAGGGATCTTCTTAGTCAGTGGAATTCATCCTCTGGAAATCAAAAATGTCTTTACATGATTTGTTGAAATAACAGATTCACATTGGCTTACCTAGAATAGAGCTGTGACAAAATGTCTTTCTATCTGTCTCTGTTTTATGTCTTTATCATGTGAATATCTTTGGGTTGTAGTTTGGTTTGATGAAATAAGCGCCTTACAGAAACTTTTTTTATTACTCAAATGATAAATCAGTGACTCTGCATCCTCTCTGAAAGTATGGCTAATTAAAAAAAAAGGATCTCCCAGTAAAAAAAAGAGATCCAAAACTAAAACAACAATTTAATCATGCAGCGTTAGAAAGTGCTGGATTTTCCACAGTCAAGTACAGGAACAAAAACTAGGAACAGACTGCCCTGTGGGAAATTAAGAGCACAAAGCTTCTAAAACAGAAGTTCATCAGGGTTCATTTAGTTCACATTTTCCCCTAAGTTGCAAAAAAAAGTCTGTGCATGCCGTGTTCAAGTCTGCAGTCAACCTCATGGGAATGCTACACAACAATCTTCTTATACAATTGACTGCTCAGGACAATATATTAATTTAAACTTAAATTATGAAGCTTCTTCTCCACTGTCAAGGTACGTCCCAGCCGACTAATGATTAACTTGCTGGACAATGTTAAAGTCATTGCCCTCAGAGGACCTCAGTCATTATAGATCATACTAAAAAAGTCACAAAGAGTCAATTACCAGCATAAAATGAAGAATAGAGTTTATTCAACAACTACATCAGAAACACTGCGGTTCTCAGCATCTAGAAGGCACAAAGGAAACTCGTGATTTTCCAACAGCTCCATAAAACTAAGTGTAACAGGAATATACAGCATCATGAGGTGGGGAAGGTGCATGTGTGTGGGAGTTTTGGAGCCGTTTCAAAATTCTCACCCAATCAGAAAATGCCTTGCTCCTTTCTGAGGTCAATGTCTCTCTTCAGCTGGCAGGTAGCACAGAGGGAGCAAAACACGGACGCCATGAAGTCTTTGCACATTGAACCCTAGAAACAAATAGAGTTTGTTTTAGAAGGTGTAGCCCTGATGTGACTCACTATCACTCAGACAGGTGACAGGTACCCCATCTGTTGGACAGGTTTGGGTTAATGCCCCAGTCTCCTGCTATCTACACTTGAAGGTCCAGTGTGTAAGACTGAGGTGAAAGGGAACTATTGGCAGAAATCTAATGTAGAATAATCCTCATAATGTTTTCACCAGTTTATTTAATCTAAATTGTAGTTTTCTTTACCCCAGAAAAGGCTCTTTATATTTAAATACTTTATATTTACATCGGGGGGGTCCTCTCTACGGAGGCCGCTATGTTTTTTAACATACATACAAAGTGTTGGACCAGTGGACTCAGCTGGCCAACATTGAGATACACAGAAACAGAAATAAATGCTGCTACAGAGAATTACATATATTTTCATCTCCTTCTCTCCCAACATTTGATTTTTTTTAAATGTAAAGTGATCTCTGTCTACGTTTTCACAACAGCACCCGAGTATGGGATTCAGACTGTCCTCAAAATTACAAAGCTATCCTTTAAGAATTACAATAAAACAAAAATTATTTCAATTCCTCAGTGTTATCTGGTGACTCTTTGGAAGAGCCTGGCCCCTTGGTTGGGAAACACAAGACTAATTCATCTCTATTAATAATTAGATATCATATCTTATCTTGTTCTGTAGTATACCTGTGGAGGTTTAATGATGTAATATAACACCATACATAAAAGTGCCGTTTTTTTATTGCTATGTCAACGGGACGGCCAGCTCCAGACATCCACTGAGCACTTACTCTGATGTTATATCTGGTCCTGTAGACGCTGCGGATGGGCATCCCCAGACCACAGCAGCAGCACTCGCCCATGTCACTGGCGATGGAGCAGCCCGTGCACGGGTAGAAACACACAACATACATGCCTGTGGCAAGAGCGAAAAACAAAAGTGTTGCTTACTTAAGCTTGATTTCAGACACATGGTTTCACATCAGCATATCAAAAAATAAAATAATACAGATACTAGAACTATAAAATAAAACCATCGTTATGATTAGAAAGGATCTGTAGGAAAGGAAAGTTGGTTCAGGACCATATGTACATGTTTAAGTCAGTTTATCAACACAAATGTGTGTATATATGTATATACAATTCCTATATATACAGTACTGTTGGTGCACATCAACATCATTGCTCTCTCAAATAAATGTTTTCACTACATTTGTCAGTTGTTCTGTCATGAAGAATAAAAAATGTTAAATGCTTACAGGTTCCACAGTCGTCGCAGACATCACACAGGTTGGTCTGGAAGTCAGAGGGCTGGTACATGCCTGGTTGGTTGGTCACCGCCATGATCGGGATATAACTTCTCTCTGTGGGATGAAAAGGGTTCGTTACCGCTGTTAGTTCTTATCACTGATCTTGAACCTAATGCTGAAGAGCTGTGGCCTGTTCTGTGGTAATTACTTGTGTTTCTTCCCCCAGCAAAGATAACTATAAATTACACCTCTTTTGAACATCAAACAATATGAGAAAGGAACATGGAGTAAAGTTAATCCATTTGGGATTCTCAGCCAGGCTGTTGTTGTAAAGTAAATCTTACCAGATGGCGGTTGAGGAGGATGAAGGTGAAGCTGACAACGGAGGCTCGTGGACAACAGACAGAAGGGAGTGAGTCTTTACAACTGGTCAGAGTTGAGGACCTACTTGGCTTAATCACTTGTTTATTGGGCTGAGACATTCAAGGGCGTAGAGATCATTCTGATAAACCCACCCACACCAAGCCAACAAAATCTCTTTGACATCTATTCTCATGTTGGACACCACGCACGCACGCACACGCACACACACACACACACACACACACACACACCACAAGTTTCAGTTCTCATTGAACTCTGGAGACAATGTGAACTGTCCACCTGAAATGTAAATAAAAGTACTTCTGCTTTCTCAAAATGCAGAAGTTACATGCATCCATTATTCAATGTGTCTATTGGATCCGAAATTATATTAATATTGTGTAAATAATACATAAATTATTTTTTTCACAACAGCAGCCCCCTGTACACGAAACATAGAAATGAAATTCCACTGTGATTCATTTTTATCACACACACCAGCACTGTTTCTACTGGGACCTGTCTAAATGTCTGCAGTGACACAAACCTATTGGTTGTAACCTATGTCACAATTATCTGTGGTGATAAAGGGAGTTGTATGTTGGCAATTTAAAGTAAATCCAACTCATATGTGAAGAGAGGAGGCATTGACAAATGATAGCAGTATTTCTACATGCTGCTGAACAAAGTTGACACTGTGATTGTTTTATTGTGTTCTATTGTTCAAGTGATCTGAGTAGTTAAGTTTATGTGATGCAAGTACCTTTATTTGATCGATGATTCACAGCGTGCCATGCTCTGTCTGAAAGATTTTCAGTCCAGTGAGTAACCTGGACTGAAAATCTTTCAGACAGAGCATGGCACGCCACTTTAGAGTTGAGTGTAAATTAGTGATTGAGCTTGGTTTTGTTTTAAAACCAAATTATTATCATTATTACAGAAAGCTGTCCACGTCTCAAACCCTTGCTGTGCTCCTTACAGGCACACGGTGGCGCTGCTTCCCACCATTTGGCTTGCCACCCACTCAGGCTGTGCAGGGGGAGCACAGTAATGAGGGCCTGACTGTAATGATACAGGCTCCTACATAATGAGCAGCTGTAACTGCAGCTCAGGAATAGGCATGATTTTCAATTTCCGACAGACTAAAGATAGACGAGGGCTAAATTACACTGAAATGAACGGGGTTGCCATTAGCCTGCGCTACAGCAGACCCATCAAAAGACGTTTCCCCTGAGGGAATGCATCCACTGTTTTAGACATCACACGTTCAAACCTGAGGCCTTATTGTCAGTAAATACGTTGATTTATTTGATGATTTCAAGATACAACACAGTTGGTGTCAGTCAAACCTGTGTAGTATTGGTGTTTTTAGCATGACATCAGTTTTATTTAATTAAATTCAAAGTAGGAGCCAGACAAATGTCAGAATAGGTTATTTTCCCCTGATATTGTTGCTTGTTGATATTTGTGGTTGCTGGGTGATGGTTTTCTGTCACTCTTATCACTGTTCACTAGATTTAAATTGCACGATATTACTGTTCACCAGTGCATTTACTCAAGTTCAGTTTAGAGGTAGCTGCACTTTACCTGAGTATTTCCATCTCATGCTACTTTATGCAAACCAAACCTGAGATCACTTTACAAATGTGATGCCATAGATAATTTAAAAAAGGGCTTTCTCCACCAACTACAAGATTAAATTATCACTTATATGTTAATGCATCAGTGATGACCAACCAATAATTTAAGATTATATATATATATAATGTAATAAGACAGAGGGAATTCTGCTATAAGTGGATTTTAATGTATTTCAGAACATGAACTTGCCTCGGCTTTTTCCTATAATGGTCGAGGAAGTATTTTCATCAAGAATACTCTATTTCAAGTAAAGGTCCTGCATTTGAAATTCTATGTACATACAAGATTAGCTGAATGTACTCAAAGTATCTAAAGTAAAAGTACTCATTCTGCAGAAGTGTCATCGCAGGATTCTTAATACTGATGCATTCATTCTTCAGCAGCTTTGACTGTTATAACTGCTGAGGTGGAGCTTGCTCTAACTATCTAATATACAGTTTGACAGTTTAGTACAAGGGTTCTCATCATGGGGGTCAGGCCCCTCCCAGATACGTCTGAGGGGTCGTGAGATGATTAAACGGAGAGGACAGAAGAAAATATAAAGTTTAAGAATAATTTCCCTGATCTTTTTTTACTGTATATTTTTCATTATCTGTTTTGTTATTTATTGGTGTTTGTTGTCTCTGTGGGCTTGAGACAATCATTGTGATGAGACGTGGTGAAATGTCTCTTTGGTGACAAGGACCCAATCTAGACATCGATTTTGATTTTAGAGTCTCAAGTCAACGGCGATGGAATATAACAAAGGGCCTTCACGTTGTACTGAAGCACATAAATATAAATACTTGACTCAATAATTTCCATTTTACTCAACTTAAATTTTTTTTTACATTTGTTTATTTTACATTCAGCATGATTCATTTCCAGCATAGGTATCTTAAAATGTAAAATGCATTATTAGAGATTTGACCCAACAGTGTATAAAATAGTTAGAATTAGCTCCACTTTTACCAGTTAAAACAATAAAGTGTTAGCTACACATGAACTCATCAGTAATAATAATCACATTTTACAATAACATTCACAGGGGAGATTTTTCTTCTCTAAATATTTGTTTTATAAATCTTATGTACTTTTACTTGAGATGTTCAGTAAAGGGCTTTTACTTTGAAGGGAGTATTTGTACACTTTGGTATTGCATCTTCTACCAAACAAACAAAAAATTGGAATACTTCCTCCAGCGCTGCAGGTGAAAAAGGGTACTATCCACTGATGTTGTTGATGAAAACTTCCCCTTTTACAAGTGGAGTACACATACTCAATACTCATAAAATACTCATGAAATACTCAAGTAGAGTACATATGCTGAACTACAATACAATATGAGCAGCATTAAATACTATCAAGATGCCAAATTTAACAACTTAATACTACAGTAATAAGTTAAGTCTAACAGTGAATCATGTGAGATCATATGTCTGATATGGAAAG